TATGATTTCCACAAGTTGCCTTGACTTTGATGCCAGGTTTAAACTGTGTGTGCCCACGGATCCACCTGGTGCAGCTAAATCTCACACGGCTTTATTTAAACTAGAAGCAAAAGTAAATATAATCCATGTTTTCTTCTAAACACTCACCAGTGTAGCTTGGTGTGCTTTTTTACCTTGTGTGCCCCCACAGGTCATTTCAGTGTTTATTAAATATGATACATGATGTGTGTCCTATTTTCTGACTGATGGTCTTTCCACCCCCCTCTCTCTCTCACTCGCTCACACACACACACTCTCTCTCGCACTCGCTCACACACACACACACACACACCCACACACCCTCTCACTCGCTCACACACACACACTCTCACTGGCTCACACACACACTCTCTCATACTCGCTCACACACACACACACACACCCACACACCCTCTCACTCGCTCACACACACACACACTCAGGGGCAGATTTAGCAATTTGGGGGCCCAAGGCGAACACAGACATGGGGCCCCTTACACAAAATTTTCGACAATCTTACCTTTAACTGGATTTACGAAACTCCCCTCTTCTGACGAGTTATTTTCCCTTTATATTAGTCCTCCTCTTTTTTCCTGTATTTCCTTCCCTTTGAGTGCTTTCAATATTTGCTCTGCTTTCTTCTTCCTGTCAGTGCTCCTGTGCTTTAGTCTCAGTTATTTTTTTTTCTATTTTCCATTTTGGTCTGTTTTCCTCCCTTGAAACATTTTCTATTGTCTTTCCTTTCTGCTTCCTTTTGATGTTTACAGCGAAAAATGATGTCACTTTCAGAAGTGAAAATAAAAGTTTTTATGAAGCAAGCAGCTTCTTTCTCTTATTGGAGCCACTAGGATAATTCAATTTCATGCTTCATGTTTTGACTATCGCTTTAGGTTTGTTACGAACGCCCCCGCCTCTCTTCTTCTTCTTATTTGTGGTCTTATGGCACTTGGCAAACAACAGTTTGGGGCATTACCGCCACCAACTGGATTGGAGTGGAATGACTACCAATCACTTCCAGTTTGTGCATCGCCGTCTTAATAAGCCTCTTATGACCATAATTATAACGGGGCCGCCTGGTATTTTTTTAATCTTATGGCTGTAAAATTGTAATAAAAAGTGCAAAGTGTGTGTAACTCTCCTTTTTTCAGAACAACCTCGGCTTTTAGTGTATGGTTTGTATTTAGAATTTATTTCTATTAAAGCCTTTAAAAAATCAGCTTAAAAGTGAAAAAAGCAAAAAACGGATTTGAATTTTTTACATTTATTACTGAACAGGAACATCAAAATTCCTGGGCAAACAATTTAAACTTTGAACTGAAATGCATCTATTCTTAAAAAAGTGTGAACCTTGGTATCTTTTTTAGCAGATTTAAGACCATTTGTTTTTGTAAACTTTCAGATGTTTTTATTTGATGGTAGGCCTTGAAGCAGTTTCTCTCCAGCTGCAGGCAGAGCGCACCTCCCACTGCCACGGGGTGCTTCTCTTGCACACCGTGCACTGTTATACCAAAACCTTTTGTTTTAGCAAAAATAATTTTTTATGGTAAAAAGATAAATAATGCTGGAATGAAGCTGAATCTTACAATTATCAAATAGTTGAGGGTTGTTCAAATAAAAAAATAAAATATAAAGACGTAACAGTCATTTAATATTTTGAACATTTTAATTAATTAAATAACATCGATTGGGGGGGGGGGGGGGGGGGGGCAAATAATGCAGCCTGCCTAGTGTAGTCCATTTATTTCATCCGGCTCTGCACAAGGCTGCAATTAAACTGTTAGATGTGGCAGGAAATAAACTACAGTAATATACCACTCTACAGGCACATTTTGAGGAGCGACAGTTTACTAAGACTAGGCTAGGCAAGGTGAGACTCAGGGCTGATGCTGTGCTTGTTCATCGCCCTGAACCAAGGAGGAGGAAGGATCCCTCAGTGAGAAGTACAGCAGAACCACTGCATGTTGATCCACTGACCAGTGACCACACATGTTGTACTCAAGTAAACAGTGGTACGAATCTTTAGAAATATTAGACATTTGTATGTATTTTATTGAAAAATTATTCTTTATTCTAACAGTGCTATTATAATTTCAGAGAAAGAGGAAAACAAACAGCAGCAGCAGTGAGGCAAATGAGATGAGGGACAGTGAGGGGGGACATGAAATGGTATCAGGAGAGGGGGGGGACATCCCAGGAAGCCATGAGCAGCCAGTGTCAGGGCCAGGAGGAGAAAGGAACAGGCTGGAACCAGGGAACCCAGCTGGAAAACCTAAGGGAGCAAATAGAAAATCCAAAAAGCATGAAAAACACAAGAGGCATTAAATGGAGTAAACAGACAATCAAAAAGGCCGTACAGCTCTGTTTTTCAGTGGGTTCAACAGGCTGCAGGTTTCTTCAGGACACGAGTATCCCTCTGCCTGATGTTAGAACCCTGCACAGACAAATGCAGCCCGTTAAACTGGAACTAGGTGTGTTAGGAGAGGTGTGTGACATGCTCAGTTTGAAGGTTAAAAATCTGACAGAGATGGGAAGAGAGTGTGTGCTTACTGTGGATGAGATGGCAATCACTCTAGGCGTGCATCACTCCATCACAGACCCAACTGGGATTTGCCACCACCGTTGTTTCTGGTCAGCTCTCCGCTCCGCCACTATGAAAACATGAAGATGGACACACAACACAGTTTAACCTTTAATGGTTACATAAGATCTTTGTTTTAGTTATTCTTTGACATTTATTTATTGATATTTATGTTATTGTTAATTCTTATTTCTTGTTATTCCTTACTTAATAACAAAACTGCAAATGCTAATATTATAAAGCAAGTGGAAAGGAGCAGTTTTATGGAAAATGTCTAATTTTTAAAAGTTATTGTGTTCGACTACTGTTCTTGAAATATCGTAATTCTATTCTTATTGAGTCCACAAAACAGAACACATCTTCTTACGCTCGTAATCCTGTATGTCTCATGCTTCAGCAGCGTGTTGCAGTCAGTTAACTGAAAAATATTAAATAATTACTTGTCTTCACAATCACATTATTGGTCTCTCCACATCACCCCGCTTCTCCTCCAGCTTCACTGGCTGCCAGGCAACTTCAGGGTTCATTTCAAGATCCTGGTTCTAGTCTATAGGGCCTTACATGGACAAGCACCATCTTACATTGGTGATCTTCTTAGTCCCTACACCCCCAGCAGGTCCCTGAGGTCCAGTGATCAAAGCCTACTGGTTGTGCAGCACCAGGCTAAAGACCAAAGGTGACAGATCATTTGCTGCTGTGGCCCCCAGACTCTGGAACTCTCCCCCTGAGCCTGAGATCAGTGGACTCAGTGGTCTCCTTTAAAAAGCAGCTGAAGACTCACTTGTTCAAGCTGGCTTTTGTATGACCTTCTTCACCACTCTCTCTTTATTCTGCTCTCCCCACCTATTCCACCTTTCTCAGGATCCACTGATTTCCCTCTGTCCTATTCACTCTCTCTCTCTTTATTGACATTTTTTTAATCACAATTGCCTATTTTTGCTCATTTTAATATATTTTTAAACATTTTCTAAAAGCTTTTTTATATTTTTACATTTTTTGTTTTTGTGAAGCGCCTCGTGATTTTTATCTTGAGAGGCGCTATAGAAAAGATATTTTCTTCTTCTTGTGCTTCCATTTCTGATGCATGTTCGTGTTGATACAGCAACCAGCAACGTACTGTACAAAAAATCCCAAATAAAACTAATAATGTAAAAAGTTTATAACCTACTCAAACTGGGGAATATTTTTAAAACGTAGGATCAAACAAACTGAAATAAACCCGTCTACAGCTTATTTAAACCCTCCTGCTCACAATCAACAAGCTGCACACAATTAGCTTGTTAAAGGTTATCTAGCAAAAACTGGCACCATAAAATATCACCGTTGGCTTATTTTGGTACGAAGCGGTTAGCTAACGCTTCACAATACAACAAAATGATGACATTTCATCAACTTTCCGGAGAAAATCCTTCCGAAACACCGAAAATGAACTGCAGTCAATGCAGCAGCGGGGCTGTTTGGAACTATTCGAAACTACATGAACCACGTGATGTCCGCATTCCATTCTTTCCACAGAAGTCTATTGAGTGTCGCAACTCTCTCTCTCTACAGCTCTGACAGAACCCTGCCCTCCTCTCCCAATGATTGGACAGGAATTTGAGAAACGTGATTGGTAGCTAAGACTCGTGCTCTCATTGGTTCCACCCAAGTTCCTCCCACCGAAGCTAGAATTGAAACAAAATTATTTGTAACGCTGTAGATTTGAGGTTTGTACCTGTAGAATGAAATATGTGTTTTGAGAGTTTTGATTTCAAACATGTACATTGATTTTTTTATTTTGGAAGTTGCCAGGTAAAAACCGAAAGTTTCATGTTTCTGAATGAATGTTTGATGTTACAAAATGAGTAGAAAATGTAAAAATAAAAGTTTGATTTAAAAAAATAAAAAATGCATGTACTAAATGAAGATTTCCTGTTACAAAACAAGAAATACAAGTACAAATTGAGAATTACAAGTTAGAAAACTAAAGTTACAAGTCACGAATCCAAAGTTACATTTCATTAAACATGTTCCGAGTTACAAAACTTGGTACAAGTTACATTGAATATTGTCCCAATCCTAGCTCCATAGCAAAGCTGTTAAAAGCAAGACCTCACTACTGAGTTAATCTGTGGGGCCATTGAGAGTTCAGCACCTAGTTTTGCTCCGAGACTTGTCACGCACTGTTTGGGGTTGAAAGTTAAAAGGTCACAGAGTGTCTTATTTTATGGAAAGGAAAATAAAAAAGTTGAGAACAAGTAAAACACATCTGAACACTTTCTGAGTGTGAACAGGGTGATTTGAGAAAGAGCAGTATGAGATCTGAGCATTGAACCACAATAATGGATAAAATTCATCTAAACCTTCTTAGCTGCAGGGAAAATCCACTGCTAGACAGGAAAATGGCTTAAATATATATTTTACATTAATACAGATGAACTCATGAACAAGACATGACTACACTTGAAGCATGGTTACCAACACATTCTCACTCCCAGCGCGTCAAAAACAAACGCTTGTTCAGCCACCCTCCACGTCAGACCCCAGACGCCAAAAGTGCCCTTTTTCGTTACTTATGTGTGAAAAGGGGTTTTCCCTTATTTGACTGCAGATCCCAATGCAGCGTTACACTGACGCGATGGGATGTCCGCAGCCAGGGCACCAAACAAGCTCATTGTACTTCACCTTAACCTTATCCTCTTATTTAACCTTCCCCTCACCCCTATCCTAACCGTAACCATCTTGCTAGCGAACACGTTAGTGATGTGTCGATCACTCTAACAGGTGTACCGGGAATTTCTCCTACCCCGTAAACCGTCCTACCCGTCGTTCCTGCTCATGTGCGCGCATGCGCACAACACAAAAAGGGAAGCAAAGCGCATCCGGCTGTGATTTCATGCTACTCCGTTGTCAGATTTGCAGGAAAATAGGTAAGTAGTTAAGTATTCATACTTTTTATTGATTTATTTAAGCTTTTGTGATTGTTCGTCAATATTAAAGTAAAGTCTCTATCTGCTTTCTGCACAAAACTGTCGAATTTGCAGCTTTGGTTAAGTCTGCTGTGGTTACTGGACATGTGGTATTTGGACAACACTTCTGAATCCGCAGCTTCGGTGTTTTAAGGCTGTTTCGGTAATGTCGCTATTTAATAAGTTAAATTTGCATTGTTAACTGCACATATTGAAGCTCAGAAGAAAATGTCTACTTACATTCATAGATATGGAGAAGAAGTGGGAAGAGATGTACACATTCATTTCTGCGGGCTCCTACCCTTCAGGATATGACAAGGCTCAGAGGCAAAACCTCAGAAGATATGCCTCAAAATTCAAATAAAAGGGTCAGTAATTTATTGTTAATCCTAACAACTCATATATGTGGTTACATTAAATTCTAAATATATATTGTTTTACTGCAGATGGAGAACTCTTTGTTGGAACCAGAAGAGTAGTAAAAACCATGGATGATGCCAGGAAGATTTTTCATGAGTTTCATTCATCTCTAATCGGAGGACACACTGGCACACACAAAACGCTAAATGCAGTGTGTTCCAGATTTTACTGGTTTGGTATGACAGTTGACATTAAATTTCCTTTTCAGTTCTTTGTCCCTGTGTTCTGTTGGGTCTATAAATGTCAAATATATGTATCTGTAAATATATTCAGTAAATATATACTGTAACTATAATGGAGTGAGTTCATTGTCAAAGTTTATATAGTCAGGTGTTCCAATCACTTCAATGGTGACAGCTGTATAACTTAAGCACCTTGGCATGCAGACTGCTTCTACAAACAAGTGCCAAAACATGCTACCTTTGTTATTATAAACTACAAGCATAAGAATTACGTGCCAAAACATGCTACCTTCGTTATTATAAACTAGAAGCATAAGAATTACGTGCCAAACCATGCTACCTTCGTTATTATAAACTAGAAGCATAAAAATTATGTGCCAAAGCATGCTACCTTCGTTATTATAAACTAGAAGCATAAAAATTACGTGCCAAAACATGCTACCTTCGTTATTATAAACTAGAAGCATAAAAATTACGTGCCAAAACATGCTACCTTCGTTATTATAAACTACAAGCATAAAAATTACGTGCCAAAGCGTTATTATAAACTACAAGCATAAAAATTACGTGCCAAAGCGTTATTATAAACTACAAGCATAAAAATTACGTGCCAAAGCATGCTACCTTTGTGAATATGACCTACAAGCACACTTTAATGGGTAAAAAGAAGTGTCAAACCGTACTGGCTTCATGAATATCAGCTACAAACATACTCTGATTGGCAAAGTTAAGTGGTAAACTGTCATACCTACTTAAATTTGTGCTGGAATTATTGTTTGGCAGCAGAAATGTGCATAAATTACGTACAGTAGGACATTTGGCCAAAGTAGGGCAGTTTGTCATGAGGCAGCGTAAAATTATCCTATGGGTAGGACGTTTTGTCAAGTAGGACGTTTTATCAGAACACCAGCTCTATGAAGTGAACGGTGGGAGCCGCCTCGTGATTGGTCGAGTTTGGACCGAGCCAACGTGAGGGGGAGGTTTCAACTACCACGGTGGAGGTTAAAAGTAGAGGGTATGTGTAACCTCCCCCTCGCCAGATGGTATGTTCTAACGTTCCCCTTGGGCGGCAAATTCGAAAATTGACAGTCAGACTCTGACTGTCAGAGTCAGGATGCATGGGAAACAAACGCTTGATCACAATGAGAGTAACGTTTTAGGTAGCAAGAGGGTTAAGGTTAGGATGAGGGAGAGAGAAAGGTTATAAATAGTGAAACGTTAAGGTTTAGGTGCGGTTAAATGAGCTGGTTCTGTGCCGCATCAGCGGATATCTCATCACGTCAGTTTTACGCTGCACTGGGATCTGCAGTTACAAAAGGGAAAAACCCCTTTTCGCACATAAGTAACGAAAAAGGGCACTTTTTGTGTCTGGGGTCTGACGTGGAGGGTGACTGACCAAGCGTTTGTTTTTGACGCGCTGGGAGTGAGAATGTGTTGTGGTTACATGATGAGGTTAATCTAACTACCCCAAGCCAGGACTGCTGGGTCGTTAACCAACAACCGATCTAGGTTTGGGACGTGATCGTCTAGCAGCTGGACTTGTGTTTATTGAAGACGTTTGACTCTCATCCAACAGGCTTCTTGTTCAAGATGAGAGAAGAGACATGTTCAGTAAATCAGACGAGTCTACTTACCTTTTTATTATGTTTTAATCACTTTACAAAAACACAATCCAGAAACTTCAAGAAGCCAAATACTCTGAACAGATTTGTTTATTCTGCTGCTTGGAGCTGCACAGGTGACCTTCTCGTCCATGAGGATTGTCTAGTGTCCACCAGTCAGTTCTGCAACATGGAGACTGTTTCTTCATGGCTTTCTATAAAATAAGTCTTTGAATCACTCTTAGTCTGACCCCTCACCTGAGGAAATTCTGCCACGGGAGACCCCGCCTGGAGCCAACACCCTGACTAAACATCCCTCAGGATCCTGGGGGTACGCAAACCCACCCACCACGTTAAGGTGGTGATTCAGCGGATGGGATAAATTTAATTTTTGGTTGTTTTAAATAGGGGCTAACCCCCTTTGCAGCCAATTATTACCAAATAAACTCCTACACTATTATTCACTCTTGAGCTTTCCATGTTAAAGCTGGCCAATTGCTTAGAACTTGTTAGATAGGATTTGCAAATATATGATTTACATCTTGCCCTTACTAGAATGAGTCAAATAAAATGTACTGATAACACACTACTACTTAGGTATGTATGTAAGTGTATAAAGTATGTATATATAAGTATAGAAGTGCCTCTTCACTCTCTGGTTTTAAATCTCTTTTGAAAACCAATTTTTATGATTTAGCTTTTAACTCAGCATGAGAGTCTTTTAGTCTTTTTAGTGTTAGTTCTTAAACTTTAGTTTTTATGTATCTTTATGTTGTATTTTGTTTTGTAATGTTTTAATTTCTGTGAAGCACTTTGGTCGGTTTGATGCTGTTGTAAGGTGCTATACAAATAAAGCTGCCTTGCCTACTTGAAGCACACTCTAAATACTTTTTGATAAGAGACTGTTGATCTGATCGTTCCAGATTGATTCAGACTCTGGAGATTTATCATTTTTCTGTTGTGGCCAGTCACACCAGTCACTCACTCAGCCAGACATTTTAGAGTCACTAATTAACCTAAACACGTGTTTGTGGGGGAACCGGAGCGCCCAAAGAAAACCCACGCGTGCATGAGAGAGAACGTGCTCTGTCACACAGAGGGGTCACAGCTGGCATGTCAACCAGCAACCTCTGCAAGACGAAAGCACGACCATCTTCTAACATACAGCCCCGTTTTTTCTAAAGGTGTGTGAGTATTGGACGGTGGTTGGTGAAGGTGTGTGTGTGTGTGTGTGTGTGTGTGTGAGGGCAGGTAATTAGTTTATAACTTGTTCTCGTGTTTCCGCAGACACGTTGGAGTCATAAACTTTTTGAAGCGTCTCCACTTAGAAATGTTTTGCTGCGGTTTGACTGTTTGTGGAACGGCTTCTTCAGATGGAGACTCGTTACTGTGGAGACTTTGGCTTAACTCCAGAGTTTCCTGAACGATTTCAGTCTGACAAACGTCCGTGCCCGTCTGACAATCCTTGTCAGGATTTGTCTCCAGACTTTCCACACACGGCTGTGGTTCTGGTGAATAAATCTCAGAACCAGGTTGGACCTCAGACCTGAGATGTTCTTTAAGCTGCAGTTTTAGGGTAACTAATTCCTCTTCATGCTGCTCTTTGAGTTTATGCAGCTGTTGAACAAACTGCTGGTCTGACTCGACTTTCTCAGAGACGTGTTTGTTCATCACATCTCTGAGTTCAGAGTTTCTCTCCTTCAAATCCTGGATCTCCTGCTGGAGATCTGAATTCTCAGAGACAAGAACTCTGGTATTGTCGAGTTCAGCCTGACAGCTCACCCTCAGCTGCTGCTCTTTGTCTAAACTTGATTTAAGTGTTTGACAAAGAGCAGATTTCTCTTCTAACTGCTGATTAAACACTTCCAGCTGCTGAGACATCTTCTCCTTCACCTCGATTTTTGTGGAGTTAAGACTCTCCAGAGCTTTCACAAGGCTCTTCTTTAGTTGTCCAACTTCCTCTTTTAAATTCTCAGTAATTGCGTCTTTGTTCTGACTGTTTTGCAGCTCTTGAGCTAACTGGACTCTCAGCTGTTTTAAAGTCTTCTGCAGATCTTCACATGCAGTTTCTTTGTTCTGAAGCTCGATCTGTAAACTCTTCTCCTGTTGTAACTGGACTCTCAGCTGCTTTTCCTTAATAAAAGACGATTCCAGTTGATGACAGAGAGAAGATTTCTCTTCCAACTGGTGTTTCAAGGTTTCCAGCTGTGCAGAAATCTTCTCATCTGCCTCCTTTTTCATGGAGGAGAAATTCTCCAGCTTGTTTAAGAGATTTTCTTTCTCCTTGTGTAATTCTGCAATTTCCTTCTGTAACTTATTATTGATTATATGTTCGTTGTCACTCTTCTGTTTTTCTTGAGCTAAGTTGTGTCTCAGCAGTGACTCCTGCTTTGAACACTTTTGCAGTCTCTCACAGAGATTTTCTTTGCTCTGAAGCTGGTTTTGTAAAGTCTGCACCGTTTTTTCATGAGTCTCGACCTTATGCTGATAGTAATCGAATCCCTGCTCTAATTCGGTAATTTCTCTCTTGTAAAACACACAGTCAGATTCAGCTTTGGCTCGTCTCATTTTCTCCCTTTTTAGAGAATTTGTGGAAGCTTTCAAAATTTTCTTGAGTCCCTCCACTTGCATCAAAAGACGGTCCATGTTTCTTTGTTTTTCACAGACGATTCCTGCTGGACTTTCTCAGGTAGAGAAACCTTTTGTGGTGGCTTTACACAATCTTCAGAGTCTGAATCGCTTTCCTCTTTTTAATTCTTGCCTTCTCCGCGCCACCCCTTGCTCTTTCTACTTTCCATCTTTCCGTCAACTGCGTGGTCACGTGGTGCGCACAGGCGCATATGGGGGAAAAAGAAAAAAAAACGAGCTGCAGCCTGCAGGTAGAGACAGCAGGGAGGAGCGTATGAGATCAGCCCGGCGGCCTCAGTGCCATGACTGAACACCGGCACCAAAAAATAAAAATAAAATGATAAAAAACAAAAACGAGAGCACCGGCCCATGCGGCCCAAACATCGCGCGGCCCACCGGGAATTCTCCAGACCCTCCCGATTAGCCACTCCGGGCCTGAGCATGTCCAATCCCGTCTGCGGCCACATGTTCGTAATAAGAATATTGTGGCATTAACAGAGGGGTGCTGGCGGCAGGGCCAGATTAACACTTTGTTGTACCCTGGGCAACAATATTCAAGGGCCCCATCATCACGACCCAAGGATCACCATATGGTCACATACAGAATATTTTACTGTAATATGCAGTACATTTACTCAATACTTGAATGCCTGACATCACGTAACCCGCTCAGGGTAACCTTTGACCCACCTCGTGTGGACTGACCAATAAGGAGAGGGTCTTAACTTGAGGCCCTCTCTTCATTGGTCAGTCTGCATGAGACTGACTCTCAACTGACGTTCAAAGTCATAGGCAGCAAAGCGTCTCTGTGCAGCGCAAAAGCCCGGGTGGACAGTTTGTTTAATATAGGGTGATCATATTTCCATTTCCAAGAAAAGAGGACAGGGGATCTGTGCCTATGACATCACACTATGGCAACGCCACACAAACCACGTTGGGACCTATTTTTTTGTAAGAACTAAATTAATATCAGATTCTGCCAATAAAAGGGCTCTAAAACAATTCATATGTAAATATTTAGCATATTTATTGCAAAATCTCATTTTTCTGCTTTAGTGCTGCAACAAGGTTTTATTA